TATATATATATATATATATATGTGTGTGTGTGTGTGTGTGTGTGTGTATACACACACAGTTGAGGTCAAAGGTCCCCCTTGCAGAATCTGCAAAATGTTAATTATTTTCCCAAAATAAGAAGGGTCATACAAAATGCATGTTATTGTTTATTTAGCAATTCAGTACTGACCTGAATAAAATATTTCACATAAAATATGTTTACATATAGTCCACAAGAGAAAATAATAGTTGAATAAACTATCAGGACCCACAAATTTTTTGATTTTTCAGCAATTTTGTGTATTTTAACCCTTTCCAGCAGTGACTGTATGATTTTGAGATCCATCTTTTCACACTGAGGACAACTGAGGGACTCATATGCAACTATTACAGAAGGTTCAAATGCTCACTGATGCTCCAGAAGAAAAAAACATGCATTAAGAGCCAGGGGTAAAAACCTTTAAACAGAATGAAGATGTGTACAACTTTCTTATTTTGCCTAAATGTCTTTTCTTTTTTTTCATTTAGTACTTCCCTTCAGAGGCTACAGAAGATGCTTACATTTTTCCTAGAAGACAAAATAAGTTCAATTTACCCTGATCTTCAAATTCAAAAAGTTTTCACCGTCCGGTTCCTTCAGCTCTGGGTTTCAACCACAGCCCAGTTTTAGCATAGTAATTTGTATTTGTGAGAACAACCCTTATACTGTTTGAACACAGTTTGTCTCTGGAGTAGAATTTACATTTACTTTGAAACTGAATAATGAAACATAGCCTAACTGTACTTCTACATTAACACCATATCTGGCCAATCGCACCAATCTGGTTAAAATGTCATAGGTTAATTTGTTACAGAGAAATATTTTTGTAAATGTGATAAAATATGTCTGCTTAGAATTTATATTAACCAACAGATGATTGAAAATGTATTTATTTAATTTTTGGCCCTGCAAAATATTTGTAATGGTCACTGTAGCATCTCATAATGTAATAACTGCACATAATGTAAAAACTGCACATAATGTAATAAGTACTACATTATTATTGTAATAAAATGTTCATAATGTAATCATTTTCTCAAAACGTAATAAAATCTTGACTATCACAGGCCCTGCCTTCGTGTTTTGTTCTTGGACTGTTTACCTGGTTTGTGATCGTTTGCTGCCTGTTCTGTGGATTACTCTTTTGGGATTACCTTGGATGTACTGTTTTTGCTGGTTATTTGACCCTGCCTGTCCGACTATGCTCTAAATAACAGCTGCAGATGGATCCTCAACTCTGTTGTCACGCCTCTGTCGTAACAGAATCAACAACCACACCCGGATTCAGCAACTTTGTTTCCAGGCCAGCCATGGACCCAGTCATCAAATTTGCCCTCACATCTTAAGGTAATTGGTCCCTCAAGGACCACATCCAAGACTTTTTGGACATTGTTCACGATTCTGATTTCCTGGACTGTGCACACATAGACTTATTTTGCCATGGACTAAACAAACCATTCAGAACTGAGTTAATTTGTTATGGTCCTCGAGATTCACTTTGTCAATTTTTGGACTATGCCCTGCTGTTAAGTGGTTCCTCATTCATGGTAGGGGAGATAGAGGATTATGCTGAAACCATGCACCAGGTTCCGGTAGCCACAGAACGTGACCAACCTCAGTCACCATCGTGTCCTGTTGTGGTGGTCTCTACACTCACAAGCCACACAGACTCTACACTTTCAAGCCTGCCGACCCCCACTTACCCCAGTTCCCCAAGCACAGTATCTTCAGTCTCGGAAATAGACAATGTACTCTCTGTCCGACCAGTTATGGCTACGGCCATACTGTGTGTTTGGGCCGTACACACCACCATAGTTTTCCCAGAGGTTGCAGCTTCCAATGCAGAACCTCCCCGAGGTGGTGGACTCTAGTCCCCGAATCAGTTCCAGAGGCTGCTCTAGTCCCTGAGTCTGCTCCAGAGTCCACTCCAGCTCACGAGTCTGCTCCGGCCTATGAGTCTGATCAAGATTCCGCTCTAGTCTCCAAATCCATTCTCGAGTCTGTTCCTGTCCCTGAATCCACTCTCGAGCTTACTCCATTCCCAGAGTCCGCTCCAGCTCCCCCAGAAGTGCCAACTTCCACTGCAGAAACTCCAGAGGTGGCGGTATTCACTGCAGAACCTCCTGGAGATGCGGCGCCGCTTCAGCTCTTCTCGAGGTGGCGGCTTGTGCTGCAGAACCTCCAGAGGCAGAGGCGTCTGCCTTTGAACTCTCAGCCTGTCCTGTCATGGCCAAGGAGGTCGTCTCTGAACTCTTAGCCTGTCCCGTCATGGCCAAGGAGGCCATTTGTGAACTCTCTGCCTGAAACAAAGTTTGTCCATTTTCCTTTCTACTCCCTATGAGCCAGTGCGCACAGACCCGTGATGAAGCAAATCCTCTGACTGTACACTGAGACTGTAGAGTTGTGGTTGTTGCTGTTGGCAAATGCATTGATATCAATAGACGGCATCACAGCGCTGTCAGCTGCAAGAAGAAAGATAACAGCAAAAAGGACTGACACATAATTATATAATACAAATGTGAGCTTTCTTATCAACAGAAACCTTGAGAACCATCATGTTAGGCGGTAGTTCAGAAACTTTTGAAACTGTTTATGATACAGTACCTTGTACAGTGACAGCTGTGCCATTCCCAAGATACATATGCTCACGCTCTGTAGCGATGCCATAATACGTCCCAGAATCCTGCACTGTTGCGTTGTATATGGAAGCCTGACACACTGTGGTTTCCACCTGATCTTTAGGCTGACGAGGGATGTTTGAGTCCTGCAGAATGTCTATTATTCCACTCACAGGATGTACTCTGACACAGGCCACTGTGTGACAGAATGACTGCACCTCATTCAGCTGGCAGTGCATGG